CCCCGCTGGTCGCGCCCATGTCAAGGGCCCTGCTGGCCGCGCTGGCTGCCCATCTCAGCGTCGCACTGAGACGCCGCCGCGGGGAGGGCCGCGGCCGAGACCGCTGCTCGCGGCGTCGCCGCCGGCGCGTAGCTCGCGCGCTGCGCCCCCGCCCGCGCCGAGTGCTGCGTCGGGGCGGGGCTCTCGAGACATGGGCCAGCGGCGTGTTGCAGGTCGACTGCCAGCTTCTAGTGATCCGTCTCCTTCTCTGACTGGGTTGCCACTGGTCGGCGCCCGCTGCCGAGCCGCGCCCAACGGCTCGATGAGCAGCGCGTGCCAACGAGGTCCCTCGTCGGGGTGGGCGGTTGGCGCCTCCGCGCGGTCTCTCGGGGCGGTCCCGTGGGAAGAGAGCGCCCTTGGCGATTCAGGCAGTTGAACCACCATCACACCGGTGGCGCCCCGTGCTCGACGTTGTGAAAGAGGGCCCCGACGTCTGAGCTTTGGCGAAGGCCCAGAACCATGCCGGATGGCGCAGACGGTGCGACTCGCCGCGCTACCGCGCCCTGGCGCGCATCGCCCTCGTCAGCTGGTCGGTGGCTCCGCGCGCGCTCGCCCTCGCGCGGTCGGAGCGGGTGCCCTAGCGCATCTCGCTGGCGCGCGGCGCGCACCAGTTGTTCCGATCGGGCTCTGAATCCGATTCCTCGCCGTGGCCGATGTCCACGATCAATCGCTCGGCCCAATGGGTCACCATCTCCTCGATGACTGGGCAGGGCCCCTGTTGGCTGGCTCGCAGCTATCCCCTCGCAGCGGCGCAGAGATACTCCCAGTGCTTGGCTGATCGGGAGGCCGAAGCTCCAGGGGGTGAGGCTCTTCGAACCGTCGCATGCAATCGCCCGCCGTGGACCGCGTCCTCTAACTCGTGGAACCTATGTCTGAGCCTGCGTCTTCCACCCCTGCCAGCCCTCCGCACACTGTGGCAGATCTCCTTGGACACGCGCGCCCCCCGAGGGCACCTGCCGTCCTCGAGCAAGCTGTCGAAGGCAGCTGCGCGCATGATGCGATTGAGCACAAAGAGAACACGCCGCCTCTTCCAGTCTTCGCCGTCTCGGAGGCCGTCGCGTCTGAACCTGGGGCCAGGTGCCCGCGATCTGGGCCGCGCGCGCAAAGCTCTTGAGACGTGTCTCCGCTAAGCGCTGGCTGCCCCGGGCCGTCCAGATTGCGCGCCCTCCCGGAAAGTCTGGAGCTCCCTGCTGTTGCAAAACACCGACTCCTCGCGGCGTGCGATTCCCGCTCCGCCGCCGCTCGCGACGCTGCCGGCAGCCTCGGGCGGGGCCGCGGGCCGCCGGGTTGCCGGAACTCCGTTCCCGACCGCGCCCCCTGGCCTCCGCCGGGCGTCGCCGTCGCCCTGCCCGCCGTGAGCTGGATGTCGGCGCACCTGCTCGCGGTTCTCCTGCCGGGTGGCCCAGCCCTCGCATCGGTGCCGTTGGGCGGCCGCAACTGCATCCCCTACCGCGCCATTCGGCCCGTGGCCCTCCGCGCGGGCTGCAGACCATGTTCGCCCATGATGTCGCACCGCTTCCTCCTGGCATTTTCACCGTCTGCCTGGGGGCTCACTTCTGGACCGTCGGGCGGCCGCGGCTGCGTTCCTGACCGCGCCCGTGGGTTTCCCCGAGGCCTGGCTTCTGTCGCGGACCCCGCTCGCCGCCGCCGCCGCGACCCGAGCTTCGCGGGGGCGCGGTCCCGGCGCCGCCCCATCGCCCATCGGTCATATCTTGCTTTTCGCACCAGCTGCTGCTCCACGCGCGCCCCTCCAGGCGCGTAGCGCGGCGGCCCCTGGGATGTGGAGCTGCCGCGAGCTGCGCCCATGTGCTCTGCGCGTCGCCCGCGTCGTTGGCGCCGTGCTTCTTGCTCATGGTTGCGCGCCGCCACTTCTTCTTTTTCTTCTTCGAGGGCGGACCCTTGTCAGGCCGTAGTGCCCCGCAGGCGAGACCAGCGCTGTCGCTGGCGACGCGGGGCGCGGCCAACGTGACGTGCCTGAGCTGCGCCTGCACCGGCGTGGCGGCGCGCCGCCAAAGTCGCGCAAGGCCGCGCCGAATTTGGCCATTGAGACCGGCCAGTCGTTGTCTCGTGAGGCGCCGGCGCTCTGATGACCAACCGCGTGAATTGCGCGTACCTCTCCGCTTCCACCAAAATCAATATGCCGATGCCTGCGAGGGGGCCATTGCCCACTCCATGCCCGACCCTACTCTTTCGACGAAAAACCAATGGTGGGAATGCTGCGTGAAGGGTGGTGCAGAATCACGTAGTGCCTGTAGCGAAGCCCACGGCTCTGCCCGTGGAGACGTTTGGGCTCGTCATGGCAGCGCGCCGCCGATGCCCGCGATGGCTTGCCCACTCGCCACCGCTGCAAAGCCCAATCCTTCACGGCATGCCTCAGGCCAATGCCATCGCCACCGACGGCTTCCGTCGCAGTCGACGTCTCCAGCGATGACCGTGCTGACGCCGCCGAGCCAGCTTTTCGCGCTCCGCTACCACTGGGAAGAGGTCGCAGTGGAAGTTCAGCTCGCGCCGTCAGGGCTTCGGTCCAATGGCGGTCGTCTCGGCGCGCTGCTTGGGTCCTGCGTCGCGCGGCAGCGCCATGCACAAAGGGCGTTGATGCGGCGTTCCATGCTGGCCGAAGACTCAGTGCTTGTCGAGGTTAAAGAGTGCGCATGGATCATCGTCCTCTTCTGACTCCAGCGGCCCCCGACGATGACCGACCCGATCGCTCCCCTGGCGGCGTCGTCCTGCTTCCACCTGGCGAACCTTTTTCGGAAGCATGGATGCCGCCAGCGGCTCCTTCCAGAAACCTCCAGACGGCTGTGGTGGTGCACTCCCCTCGAGCGCCGAGCCAGGCTTGTTGGCCCATTCCTTTCACGCGGCCTCCTCTGCGTTTTTTACAGCAGCGCGCGCGGTGGAGGGCGCCTCGCGGTCGAAGCAGGCCCCACTGGTCCACCAGGCCGTAGCAGACCTGGCCCATTGGTTGCCGTCGCTCCTGGACCGCTGCTGCTGCTGCTGCTGCTGCTTCTTTCGCGCCAATGCCGCGGCGCGTTCTTCGACCCTGCTTTCGCAATCAACATGGCCCCGCGGTAGGTAGGCCCAACCCACGCGGTGATCTTGGGGTCGAGAGCGCCGTCCAACGTGGTGATCAGCCACTCCGAAGCAGATGGCAGAGCTCGCACGCGCGCCCTGCGTGATGCTCTGCACCTGCCTGGTCGCCGTCGGCGGGGCACCTGCCACCTCAGGGCCGTGCTCCATGGCGGCTGGGATTGCCGCTCCTTCAATCTTGCCGAGCCCGCGCCCCATGAATTGAAAATTAACGACGGCGCCGTTAACGTGCTTTTGTCCAACCGACCCGCATGCTGGTCGTGGTGCGCTTCATCGACCGGCCTGTCCTGACTTCCATGCCCAAAATGCCCAGTTCGTCGACGTAGCAAGAAAACCGCTTGTTCGGCAGCCTCGCAAGCCGCGCCGATCGATCGCCCGGGGGACAAGGTTTCTTCCGCGGCCAATGGCAGATGCATGATGGCTGAGCAACTGGGCCAGGGCTACGGGCATCTCGTAGCGCGCTGCGCGATGACTAAGACGCGCGCCCGAAGGGTCCTCGCGAGGCCGTCCGCGTTGACGCCCATCACGCACACATGTAGTGGCCGCTGGACAAATCTGACCACTTAGCTGGCCAAGGCGCCGCGCACTCGCACCAGGGGGGCCCCCCGGCGAAGACGCATCCTGGCAGCGCGTCGCATCCAGGTCATGCCCCAGACGGGCACCCCTGCCCCCGTGCGAGCGTTCTTGGCGCGCGGCGCACCCGCGGGACTATCCGCGCCCTGTTGCCACCTGTCTGCCTATCGCACTGCGTCGAAGCACCTCGACGACCACGCGCGCCGCAGCCGTGGCGCCGTCTTGCAGCTGAGCCCCCGCGTGGACGTGGACTCGACTGGCGATGTCAAGGGTCGAATTCCGGCGCCCGCCGCCATCGGAGGTAGCTGCCGCATCGAGGCCCACCGCTTGATCTGAAAACTCGCGCCCTCGCCAACGTCGGTGGAGCGAGCGCGCGAGGGCAACGGGCCTGACCCCATTCTGCAAGATGGGGTCTCTCAGCTGGCCTTGCGAGCGAGAAGACGTGGACCATCGGCGCCTGCGTTTGGCACGTCCCCAATTGCGCCACGGCGCGCAGGAAGACCCCCACTGCGGCTTGCAGCTAGGGCGAGAGGAGCTTCTGGCGCCGTTGGCGAAAGGCGTCTCGCGCGCGCGCTATCAACCTGAGCTGCGCCGCCGTCAGCGGCCACACCCCGTCGGCTTTGATGGCCTGGGGGTTGAAGCAGGGGTCGCGTTCCATGAGGGCGCGGGAGTCCATCGGGTTGCCGCTGCATTCCTACTCTTCGCATGCGCCCGCCCCTTTATGGCATGGGAGTGCCTGGCCACATCGGCGAGCGCTGCAAATTTCTTGCCGTGCACCTCGAGGCTCACTTGCCATATTGTCTGCTTGGTGGTCGCATGCGGGACCTTCGGGCTCGCATGTGATCCCCGCGGGGTGAACTCCGCAAGTCCCTGCAGATCACCGCCGTTTCTCATCGGCGAACGTGTGCTCATTCCAAGTGGGCGAGCTCTTCCGGCCGCGCATCGATCCCTCCAAGCAATTTCACCCCGGCCAGCGTGCCGTAGTTTCCGCGAGCGTGGCTGCGCGATGGTTCGGACTGCGCGAAGGTCGTCCGCCGCCTGCTGCTGGGCCCTGGCCGCGTGAGAGGGGGGCCACGGGGTGGGGACCTGGCGGCGCGCCGCCTACCGCCCTCTCCAGATACGTGCGCCCTTCGGCCATGCCAAGCAAGCCGGGCCGTTCTTCGTCGCGGAGTCGGGGCGGCCGCGCCCCCGCGCCCAGGGCGATGTCGGCCCAGACCGGAAGCCGCCGACAAATAGTTCGCTGCGGTTGCGCCCAAACGCACCGTGCGCTCTGGTCAGAGCTTCTCGTCCCCGCGCCCTACCTCGTCCGCGCCGATGTCGGGCTTCTCCATGGGGAACGGCCGGCGGTCGCGGAGCAAAAACGCGCCGCTGTCTCGGCCTCCGCGGAACGCGCGTGACCATGGGGTGGCGGGCGCTGACGAGCTACTGCCAGCTGGCGCCGGATCTCACGCGACTGCGGCGAAGGCCTGCGAGGCCCACCAGCAATCCTGGTTGGCGCGCCTCTGCGGCGCGGACCTGCGCGCCAAGGCGCCGGCGAAAACCGGAAGCGCCCGCCGCGCGCTGAAGGCAGCTGGCGCCCGAGAGCTCGTCTTGAAGTGCGCCCCCGTCGCCGCCGAAGATGGGGGGCCGCGCGATGCGCGGCGGCGCGTCAGCCACCCTCTGGGCGCGGGTGACGTCGCCGTCGTTGAGGGCGACCCTGTCCGCCAAATGGATGGAGCCGACGACGCGGCCCCCTTTCGCGTCGAGGCCGACATGGGCGGCTACGGCGCGACGCCGGGCCACCACGCGCCCCTTGCCAGACGGACCGCCCTCAAGGTGAGTCGCCGAAGTGCCTGGCCGCGCAGAAATGCCCGCCCCCGCGGCACGAGCCGCGCGCGCGCTGTGAGCCCGCCGACCCTTGCGCCTGCCGCGTCGCGCCCCAGTCTGGCCCCGGCTCCTGGAGGGCCGCGGCCCGCCGCGGCCCTTGTAGTCGCGTTGGGGTCGCCGGGGTAGGCCTTCGACTTCGCGCGCGAATCGCCGTCGAGTCGGAGGTGGCGGGCTTGATTCCTCCACTGGGCCTCTTGTTGCACCAGTGGCCATTCGCCGTGCCAGGACGGGGTCAGCGGCGGGGCTGCCCAAGCGCGCCTTGCGCCTGCCCAGCTTCCTGCGCGACCGGCCGGCGCTGGCGCAGCCACTCCTGGAGCGGCGGCTGCGGCTGCGAGTGCAGTTCGGGCGGCCGGGCCATCTGGGGCGACTGAGGCGCATCAGCCGCAGGGGCTGGCGGCCCGCTCTCAATGCCGGGCCCGCGACCGCGATGCCCTTCATGACTGGGGGCGCCCGCGCCGTGAGCCTCCGGCGCTGCTCCGGCGAGCCCTTGCGGGAGGTGCCCGCGTTGCTCCTGCGGGATTCTGAAGAGCGCAGGGTCGTAAAGTCTGCGGCGCTCGGAAGGCCTGGTGGGTTTCGCCAAACTGCGGCGCGCTTCCGCAGCTTGCTGCCGATGCCGCGACCTTCGCCCTCGCGACTGCCACCGCCGCTTGCTTCAAGACCAAGGCGTGTCGATCCTTGTGCATTGTCCAGCTCGAGCTTCCCGTGCTTGAGCTGGCCCCTCAAGGCGTCGACGTCCTGCCAGATGGCGTTGGCGGCCTCCTCGCGCTCGGGGCAAGTGTTCGCTGTTCTTCGGCTTCAGACAGCGCGAAAACACGACAAAATATCCCGGCAAAACAACCTAACAGCGATGTGTAGGAGCATATCTGGAAGCATTCCCTTAATATTCACATAAGAATCCAATTTTAGAATTCTGCTGTTCTCGCAGTCGTAGTCGCAAGCGCGATGACAGTCGCAGCGGCAACGGCAGTCGCAGTCACAGCCTCAGCCTCCGCCTGCCTCAGCTTCAGCCTCAGCCTGCTTCAGCCTCAGCATCAGTCTGCCTTCAGCCTCGGCCTCGGCCTCAGCCTGCCTCAGCCTCACCCTGCATCAGCCTCGGCCTCAGCCTCAGCCTGCCTCAGCATCAGCCTGCCTCAGCCTCAGCCTCAGCCTGCCTCTGCCTCAGCCTCAGCCTGCTTCAGCCTCAGCCTCAGTCTGCCGTCGGCCTCGCCTCAGCCTGCCTCAGCCTCAGCCTGCATCACCCTCAGCCTCAGCCTCAGCCTGCTTCAGCATCAGCTGCCTCAGCCTCAGCCTCAGCCTCAGCCTCAGCCTGCCTCAGCCTCAGCCTGCTTCAGCCTCAGCCTCAGTCTGCCTGCAGCCTCGGCCTCAGCCTGCCTCAGCCTCAGCCTGCCTCAGCTTCAGCCTCAGCCTCAGCCTGCCTCAGCCTCAGCCTGCCTCAGCCTCAGCCTCAGCCTGCCTCAGCCTCAGCCTCAGCCTCAGCCTGCTTCAGCCTCAGCCTCAGTCTGCCTTCAGCCTCGCCTGCCTCAGCCTCAGCCTGCCTCAGCCTCAGCCTCAGCCTCAGCCTGCTTCAGCCTCAGCCTCAGTCTGCCTTCGGCCTCAGCCTGCCTCAGCCTCAGCCTGCTCAGCCTCAGCCTCAGCCTCAGCCTCAGCCTGCCTCAGCCTCAGCCTGCCTCAGCCTCAGCCTCAGCCTGCCTCAGCCTCAGCCTCAGCCTGCTTCAGCCTCAGCCACAGCCTTCAGCCTCGGCCTCAGTGTGCCTTCAGCCTCGGCCTCAAGCCTTATCCTGCCTCAGGCATCAGCCTCTGCTGCTCAGCCTCACTGCCTCCGCCTCACCTTCAGCGCTGTGCTTCAGCCTCAGCCTCAGCCTGCCTCAGCCTCAGCCTCAGCCTGCCTCTGCCTCAGCCTGCATCAGCCTCAGCCTCAGCCTCAGCCTGCCTCAGCCTCAGCCTGCCTCAGCCTCAGCCTCAGCCTGCCTCAGCCTCAGCCTCAGCCTGCTTCAGCCTCAGCCTCAGCCTGCCTTCAGTCTTGGCCTCAGCCTGGCTCAGCCTCAGCATCAACCTGCCTCAGCATTCAAAATGTGGCCCGGGAATAAAGTTGTGGGAACTCGAAGACCACGAAGTGGCCTACAGTTGGCTCCAGGCATTCAAAATCATGCCCAGGACTGGAGTTTTGGGAACTCGAAGACCACGAAGTGGCCTACATGTGGCTACGGGCATTCAAAATGTGGCCCGGGAATGGAGTTCTGCGAACTCGAAGAGCACGAAGTGGCCCATAGTTGGCTCCGGGCATTCAGAATGTGGCCCGGGAATTGAGTACTGGGAATTCGAAGACCACGAAGTGGCCTACAGCTGGCTCTGGGCATTCAAAATCATGCCCAGGAATGGAGTTCTGGGACCTCGAAGACCACGAAATGTGTAACTGTTTGCTTAAAACGACTTCCGCGGATTCTCCCCGGCACCCGCCCAGACCCCCCTGGGGAGTCAAGATGCCCTCTTGTGACAGTACTAGAAACCTATCAGTCTTCGCTGTTAGGTAACAACTGCCAGCACGGGCGAGACATCCTGGTGGCCCAGCTCGCGAAGCCTCGCCGGAGCCCTCCGACGCCTATCAGATGCCGCGCCACTGGTCTTGACGGGGCCCGCGCCCACGCAATCCGAAGTAGGAGGCCACGGTCGGAGGCTGCGAACCCGACTGCCTGAGCGAAGCGACGCGCGAGCTCAGTCCGCAGCTTCCGCTTGTGCGCGCGGGCCTGGCCGCCAGAGAGAGCGTCGCTCACGTCGCAGACTGCGAGTGCGGCCCTCTCGATTTGCCTGTGAAGCCGCGCTCCCTTGACGCTGCGCGCGCCAATGTAGCGGCTGCGCTTCGAGAAAACGACCTCAGCGCCCACGGTGCACGGTACCACTATCAATAGACGAGCGCGTTCCACTACTCGCAAAGTTTGGGCGCCCGAGTTATCCGGGGTAACTCGGGTCCGGGGTAAGTCGGGTTTGGATTCCCGAAAAAGGAACCCGAGTTATCCCTGACCCGAGTTACCCCTGATGATTCGGGGCTCTGGACGCCCGAGTTATCCGGGGTAACTCGGGTTTGGATTCCCGAAAAAGGAACCCGAGTTATCCCTGACCCGAGTTACCCCTGATGATTCGGGGCTCTGAAAAGTCGCTGCTCGCATATGTCCCGGTTCCGCCGCGGGGGATCTACGATCAATTTCATCGAGGGTAACATTGTTGTTCTGTTTTCAGGCGTTTGCGAACATGCACTTTGCGAGTGGAGGAACGCGCCCGATGAATCACCACCATGGGGCTTGCGACGGAGCGGCCGGCTCGGTCCGTCCTGTGGCACGTGCCACAGGGCAAACGGGGCTGGCGACGAAACTCCGCGATGGCGCCGAAAAAGCTCCACGCACGAAGCGCGCGGGGATCGCACCAGTAAGCTATCTCAAAGCCGCCGGCGCCGTTGCCTGCGATGCCCAGCGGGGGCTCGGGCCAGAGCCTCGCGGCGACTGTCCCCGCCAGAAGCAAACCCAAGCCCAGGCGACCGCCTGTGGCGAAGGTGAGGATGATGACGATGGTGGTGATGATGATCAGGATGAAGATGCTGATGATGCTGATGATCAGGATGAATGTGGTGATCAGGTGATGATCAGGGTGAAGATGCTGATGACGGTGGTGGTGAAGATCCGGATGAAGATGCGGATGATGATGCTGATGCTGCTGCGGAAGCGGATGATGATGATGATGATGATGATGATGATGATGATGATGATGATGATGATGATGATGATGATCTCTCCGCCCCAGGCGCCAATGCACTCGGAATACATCCCGAGGTAATCCAAGGGCACGCACAGGAGCAACCACGTTCCGAGACCCATGAAGGGTTTCAGAAAGCGCTCGCCCCACCCCCGCGGGGACGGCCCAGGAGGACGAGGGGGGGGGAACGAGGGGAAAGGGGAACACGATGCCGACTGGAAAAAAAAACTACATCCCCACAACCCCCCCGAACGCAGAAACGACAACGCGAATTAGCGGGAAACGGTAGGACATGCGACAAAACAAAAAGACAAGACGAAACGAGGCAGAACGACAAGAATGGAACGGGATCGAGGCCATCATGTGAAAGTATCCTCCAGCCGCGCGACCTTGGAAGCCTCAAGAAAACCAAAGGTGACGCCCAGCGGGTGGTCTACCATCTTCAGCATGATGTGTCCGTGGCGCTTACCGAACCCGAAGCCGAGAACCTCGTGCTGGCAATGCGAAGAGAGCGAGTCCGTAGATCTCGCAGTGTGCATCATCTGCAACCCATCCACGGCAACCTGAAACACATAACAACTCCCCATAGGGATTGGTCCTCGTAATGTCTAGCAAGCTCACCACCACCACCACCACGTTCATACATTATCTGGTCCACGATATCAGTCTAACCTCCATCCGACCGACGGTGCTGAGCCCAAGCAGAAGGCCAGCACCCCGTTCAAACTGTTCAGGGCCATGCTCGTCATCACGAGTAGAAGACAGTTGCACGGCACCTTCACGAGCATGAGACACTGCATCAGCAGGCCTCTGAGGAGCACGATCGCCATCATCATGCACACGAAGGAGGGTGGGTATGAACACAGGCGCATGCTTGTTGAGCTTAGAACAGGGAGGAACAACCGGCAAATGGTCGCGGGTCCTGGCTTTCTTGATACGGCAGGTTCGCGTCGTGTCGACCCCGGCGTTGGTTTCTGACACCGCGGGGATCGTTCAACCTTGAACGATCGGCCGTCTCCGCAACGTCCGATCGTTCAACATCGACCGATTCTGGGTCGCCCGCGGCGTTCAACCTTGAACGCCCGCGCTGGGGTCGCCGCTGGTCGACACGACGCAAACCTACCGTATGAACACAGGCGCATGCTTGTTGAGCTTAGAACAGGGAGGAACAACCGGCAAATGGTCGCGGGTCCTGGCTTTCTTGATATGACTACCTACCAAA